CGAGAATCATATGATTCTCGGCGTGTTTTCAAGCCTGCTTGTTCGACCGAAGACGTGGGACCGTACAGTAGAAACGGTCGCACGCCTTCCATACACTTTGAGATTATCGTACGATCGCGGGATTTCCCGCGATTCTCGTACGATAATCGTACAGTGTATGGGCACCTTATGGCTAGCATTACAGGATTTCAGAGGTTTCAAGTAAAGCTGCTATCTAATCAAACCAACAGCTGTGTAAGGCATTATAGAGAGAAAAAAAAATGATGTATCCTTTGGGCATAAGGTGTTATAGGCGGTGGTAAACCTGATTACTTGTTACTCTTAAGCCTTGTTCACACCAAGCGCGTTCCAGGAGCAGAGCAGTTACAGACTGGAGCAAAACTGCGTCCAATATATTCCAATGGTATTTTTAGCTCCAGTTCACATCGCAGCGTTCCATTCCAGAGCAGGTAAAAAAAAACTGCAGCAAGCCCTATTTTACCTGCTCTGGAACGCAATGAAAGCCCATTTTAAACTAAATTTTTAACTAAAAACGGCACGGAATGCATCAAAAACGCGGCACAATCCACTGCACTGCGTGTGCAGAAACTCATGCAGATCTGGTCTGCATTTGGTGTGAACAAGGCCTTAAAGTGACATTAAACCCTCAGATTTTTTAACATAAACCAATACTGTAATGTGCGCCTTACTGTAATCCATGGTTGTTTCCCTTCTCTTTGCTGCTCTTCCTTTTAAATCCTCATGTCTTCTCATGCTTGGGGAGAACTTCTCTTTTCAGCTCAGGGCCTCTTCCTGTAGTGCTGGCTCAGGTTACAAGCCTATACAAACTTATACACAGACACCGTGTATCCATTCCTGAGACAAGGCAGTCTGCTGCAAAACAGAAGTTCTGCAGAGCATGAGAACAGATACAGATTTAAAAGGAAGAGCAGCAAAGAGAAGGGAAACAAACATGGATTACAGTAAGGCACACATTACACTATTGTTTCATGTTAAAAAATCTGAGGGTTTAATGTCACTTTAAGCTGGCCATACACCTATAGATTATCTGCAGATTTTCGATGGTCAGATGGAAAAAGTGCAACAGATTCCTCCATCTACGCTAAACTGTGTGGATGGAGGAATCTGTCACTGGGTCAAGCTTCAGTATCTTGCTAGTCGGCCCCGCTGGCTGTCATAATACCTGAACAATCTGATTGGATACAGGCATTGGTCAGGTATTTTGAGAGTCAGCAGGGCCAACTAGCGAGATACTGAAGCTTGGCGCAGTGGGAGATTCCTCCGTCCACACAGTTTAGTGTAGATGGAGGAATCTGTTGCACTTTTTCCATCTGATCATAGGCCGACAGAAAAAAAAAATCTATAGCTTTTTAGGTGGCTGTCTGGGAAATGATTAGGGAACCCCATCATTAGGTGCCAGTAACAGTCTTTCCGGAAGTCTTAAAGGACAGTACTTTTTATCAGATCTACTGTTTTATTGATTTTAAATTGGTTTCTCTCTTCCTTGGTGGTGGTTCTGTCTACTGAATGTAAATAGAGATGCTTTAAAAATGCTAGTCTGATCATGTTTCCTGTAGACTGAGGAGACAATCATCTTTCAGGTAGATTCCTGAAAAGACCAGTACTGAACAGTGAGGGGAATTGATCAAAACTGGAGCAGACACAATCTGGAGCAGCTGTGTATGGCAACCAATCGGCTTCTATCTTTAATTTTCAAATCTTAACTGAACAAATTGAAGAGATGCAGATTGGTTGCCATGGGCAACTGCTCCACATTTTGATAAATTCCCTTTTTAGTATGTTTTTTAAGGAGATGACTCAAGTAGATTGGGGGTGCTGCTGTATGTCAGCAAAACAGCAGTTGCGGCAGGAGCAATGTGCCTGCTGCAACTGATTGCACCGGAAGGGGTGTGTAAATCATGTTTGAGTGTGCTTGGGCTAAAGGTGCCCATATACCTTACGATTATCGGACAAAACTTTTCGTCCGATGATTGAATAGTCATACGATTTTCGTACGGCAGCCCCATCCTGCCCCGATGATCGCAAGATTAATTTAGCCGTAATTAACTAAAAGCACCTGGACGAAATGCGGTAATTGATTTGCCGTATTTTCGTAAGCGCAGTGTAGATCGTACTACTTTTGATGGACGGAAACGCCAGCAACCTTACGACATTCGTACGATCTAGCAAAGTTTTCAAACATGCTTGACCCTATAAAAGTAGTACGATTGTACAGTACTGTCGGTCAGACACTGCAATGCACACATACGATTATCGGCCGAAAAGTCGATCGCATACGAAAATCGTCCGATAATCGTAAGGCGTATGGGCACCTTAACTCATGTGAACTGTTTGCACCAAGCACATCACTATTATCACCGTATGGATGTAGGAGAAAATAAGAAAACAGACCGTGTATGACTAGCTTAGGCCATATGAAAGCACCCATGTTTGTTTTTTTTCCTTTATTATTTCTACATTGACAGACGTCCCCACCGCTGTGCCCATCTTCCCATCCCATTTGACAAAATTGTGCCCAGCTTCCCACTAAAGAGCCACAAATGACCATCAAAATTCAACTCCTAATTGTAGTTTGCATCTGCCAAATGTTTTTGATTGAGCTCATCAAATTTTGGATAAATCACTCATTAATAAGTGGGGATAAAGCATTTACTCTGTTTAGAAATCAATTTGTTTATGATTGTTTCACCCCCCCCCCCCCCCCCAATAAACCTGTATCAGGTGAAACTGCATCCCTCCCCTTGATTGCCGGTAGGTTAATTGGCTCCTGCCTAAATTGGCCCTCGTATGTATGCATGTGAGATATTCGTATGCATACATGCGAGATAGGGACCATAAGGTGGCCATACACTGTACAACCATCGCAAGACCTTAGTCTTGCGATGGTTGTAAAGTGATTAAAAAAAAGTACGATCTGCCCATCTTGGACAGGCAGATCGTACTCTCGATCATCACAAGCCCGCCATGCTAAACGGGCAGTGTGCGCGTGCGCACACCGGCCCGTTCAGCATTTGTCTCCCGAGCACCGTTCAAACCAGCTGAAAATCGTTCGATTCTTGGCTGGTTTTCTAGCGTGCTCCTTAGACAAAAGACGTGCGACCGTACAGTAGAAACGGTCGCACGTCTTCGTTCACACTGCTCGATTCTCGTACGATCGCGGCATCTCCCGCGATTCTCGTACGAGAATCGAGCAGTGTATGGGCACCTTTAGATTGTGAGCTACTTGAGAGCAGGGCCTGATGTGAATGTGCAACTATGTAAAGCGCTGCATAAATTGTCAGCACTATATAAATACCTGTAATTAAATTAAAAAAGACCACTTGCATGACCTGGGCATTTGTTATGCCTATCGCTTCTCCATCTTTTGCCTACATTCATGGTCTAGTACAGGACATTTGGGTCTCCAAGTACCGGTCCGCGAGCCAATTGCGGCCCGCAGACAGCTGACATGTCAGGCACGCGACCGCTTACCTGACTTGTGGGAGAAGCTCCACGGTCTGCATCTGTTTCAGATGCTGACCGCAGAGCAGCCCCTGTCAGCTCTGGCTTCCTTCGGCCGAAGCTCTGACAGTTCAAGGGGGAGTGTATTTTATGTGTGGGAGGGAGGGGTTAATAAGGGGGGGTGTATTTTTTTTTTGTGTGGGAATTTTATTATTATATTTGTTCGGAGTGGTGGTGGGTATGTGTGTGTAACGTTGAGAAGTGTTTTAGTGTATATTAGGCCCCAATTTACACCTATATTTCAGGGATTCCTGCGTCTGGAACTTGCGTTTTCCTGCAGCAGGAATCCCTAATCTGCTGTTTACAGCGGCAACTATGATTTAAGAGGGTGTGTTTAGGGGCGGAGTTAAGTTTGGGGGCAGGGTAGGGGTTAGGTGGGACAACTGGTGGCGAGTAACTCTTAAGCCCTGGCTAGTACCTCAGGACTTGAAATTTTGAGCCCTGGTCTAGTATTCCTGTTTAGGGCTAAAATCAAACCAAAGGACATTGTAAAACAGTGAAGTTCTGCTTGCACATGTGACCCTTTTCTGATGTCTGTGACCAGCTGTAAGCTCTCTATGTTATACCAAGAACAATAGTTCTTTGTTACCCTACTACTCTCTCCACCCATCTTACACGTCTGTTGCACTTTCCCCCCCCACCCCAAATAAATGTGACAGGACACATAACAAAACAAGTGCCTGCAGAACGCCAGATACTGCATGGCCTTGAAATCAATTTGTACCCCCAAAAAAATGGATACATGTAGAATTGGATACATTTAGAATGCAGCACTTGGAACTGTTTTAAATCCAATTTTACTAAATGTAAAGCTCCCTTCTATTGCAGCTTATTGCTCCTACCTGGTAGCATTTGTACCTCACTATGGTCTAATGCATTGTCTGAAACAGGAAACACAACTAGCAGTACTCGAAAGCTGTGCAAAAATGGAGTCGGTATACGGTCTACTGCCTTTGACATGGAGCATCCAGCAGCCATGCCAGATGAGCTTGGCTCCCTCCGTGTCAAGTTAAGGGCCCAAACCACAAGCGGCTTCAGCCATACGATGTGCGCGCTCCGCACTCTATGTACCATAAGCACGATTTGTGCACGTGCATCTCAGACAGCGCTAAAAAAAAAAAAACATCGCGGTATAAGAGTACTTAGTATGAAGAAAGCAGTATGCTCATTCAGCCGTCACTTGTATGCAACGTCGTATTAACACTACTCAAAAAAAATGAACGTTGGCTAAAAAGAAAGGACATTTTTTTTTTCCCTCTCAGATAATGTCACTGCGGTCACCGTTCGACGTGCGTATCTGCATTACACATTCAACAGGCACGTTATGCGCTTTGCTCAGTGCAAACACTTGCCACCATGGGCACCTTTTAGTACAATTTAAAAAAAATAGCAAGAAGGGTGCAAGCAGCCACACAAACACACACACCTTCTCCTGTCAGCCAGCGCTGCGCGCCCTTTCTCTCTCACCCCCCTCCTCACTCGCCCACGCAAGCTCTTCTTCCTGTTGGCGCGCACCCACTCTCCTCCCAGCTCCCGCCCAGACTGACCAACCCACGTGTCAGCGCAGAGCCAATCAACGACAGCACAAGGCGCGATCCGGATTTGACCGGTCGGATTCCGGACCGGGTATAAAAGGGGCGAGCACAGCCGGCGCTTGTTTTAGTCGCTGGGAAGTAACGGAAAGAAGTTGTTGAATTTTTCCCAATTGTGCCGTCCGAACAGCAACCATGCCAAAACGAAAGGTAGGGTGTGCGCGCGAGCATGTGAGAATGTCAAAGTCGCAGGAGAAGATATTTTTGTATATGTGTGAAATAAACGATTAGGTATGGCATTTGAAAGGAGCAGGCGGGTAATTAACTGGCCGTTTAAACTATACAACGCGGGAAAGTGCGAAGGGAGGCGGGGCTTCCGCCAAAACAAGGAGCGCGAACACGAAATTGGGCGGAGCCAAGTGCCCCTTACGGCTTTTCTTGTCAGGGTGGGGTGGTCGGGTGTTGCCTGAGGGATGCTGTGTGGAAATGATTGCAATGGTGGATAAGCCCGCCTTGTACCGAGAAGCCCACGGCAGTAACGTGCTTTCATGTTTGTAGCCGCAATCGATTTAGGGCACCGTGCAGAGGCGGGCTATAACTTTATTTTTCATTTTGTAGGAGAGCGTTAAAACATATACACTTTGATGTTACCAGTCTGAATTTCAAACAACGCTTCAGAGTGGCCATAAGTCAATTTACATGTTCAGTAAACAATGCCAGGGGGAGATGATTTATAATCACGTGATTCCCTCCTTCCCTTTTTTGTTTTCCCCGGAGACGTGTAGGGCTTGTAATGTCAGCATCAGGATTTCCTAACCTGCGCATCCAGATTGTTCAGTATTCCCTGCTTTAAGAATATTGGGAACAGTGCTTTATCAATGTCCATCACTGCTGTGATGTAGCCAGTAGCCATTTTCTGGTAGGATATGACCTCTTTAGATGGTGCTCAGTTTTTTTAAGCTACTTGTGTTATCCCGACAGCTTTATAAAATAGGGTTCTCGATTAGGTTTATAATCCATGCCGTGTTCCTCTGAGGAAACAAGGGTAATGAGCAACCTATAGTTTTAATTATATTTTACATTTAGGCAGTGTAGGGGAACCAGTTCTTGTATGTCTTGTGTTTAGTCTCCCATGACCTTAAGGTACATATAAACAATTACAACGCTAGTGGAGGTCCCTGTAGTACGTTTTGACTTCTGTTTGCTTTGTGTATTCACTGGATTTGTAGAATATTTGATTGCCATAGTTTGCGCCATGTCTTATTTAAGATGGGTTCTAAAGTGTTTTTTTTTTTTTTATCAATTACAAAACAATATGCCCTTGTCGTGGGCGGCAGTTTGTCCCATTTATTTCAGAAAGGCCTATAAAATGTATTTAAAATGACACTAAACTCAGGAGTTAAAGCTTAAAAATACATTCAAGTACTTGAACTATTAACAAAATGTATCTTATTTGTGTATCACTCGGCTGTAGATCCTCAAATTCTCTGAATTGGTGCTGATGTTGTCCTTCCTTCTGGAGGGGGGCTACTTTTCTTCCCCATGGTCCCTGTGCGTGTGTTGTAGTCACCGCTCCGAGCTCACTCCTGTGATGGACTACATACAATATCACGTTTAGCTTACTGATTTGTATTGAAGTTATAGTCTAAAATGTCAATACAAATTGGCTAACTAAATGTAAGCTTGTAGTCCATCATGGGAGTGAGCTTGGAGTGGTGGCTACTTTACAACACACAGGGAACATGAGGAACAGAAGTAGCCACCCTCCAGAAGGAAGGACAGTGTCAGCACCAATTCAGAGATGATTTGAGGATCTACAGTCGAATAATGCACAAATAAGATAAATTTTGTTAGTAGTTCAAGTACTTGAATGTATTTTTAAGGTTTAACACCTGAGTTTAGTGTCACTTTTAATAGTCTGCAGAGCTATAAAAAGCATCCATACACTAGCTGAAAATGGGGTTGAATCCAAACATCGTGATGCTGTCTACTTTCTTGCCACCACCAAGAGTTGTATATGCAGTCTACTACACATTTGTGTAATTTACACAGAATAAAAAAAACACCTTGGTTTTTATTTAAATTGTTAATTAGTAGTGCTTGTTCTCTGAAAATGTTTTACTCAGATTGCTATTTGAATCCTTATATTTATGATGTATGCTGAATAGTTATGTTATCTTGTCCTATCTTAAAGGCTGAAGGAGATGCAAAAGTTGACAAGTCCAAAGCAAAGGATGAGGTAAAGTAATAAGCCTACTCTGCCTTTCGTAGACATTATAATCATGCTTGTTTTAATTGTTCTTGTGCTTTTGTTTTATTTAGCCACAAAGGAGATCTGCCCGGCTATCTTCTGTGAGTATCTAGTTAATGAAAATGTGTTTTTATAACAGTATCTTGTCAATCTAGGCCTAATCTTCAGAATATGGCTCACTTATTTTTTCTTCCCCCTTGGTTATCTCCCCAGAAACCAGTCCCAGCTAAAGCAGAGGCAAAACCCAAGAAGGCTCCAGCTGCTCCAAAGGCAAGTATAGAATTCCGCCACAGACTTGTTTATATGCAATCAAAATATTACGGCTCTTGTGTACAATTTTATTGATGGATATTGTTGATTAGCATGTTAATAAAATTAAAGGCCAGCTCCGGTTTAATGAAAATCTCCAGCATCAAGAAACAAATGCAGCTCTGGCACTTATAATTAAAAACGAAAAATCGCTGGCACTGCCGCAGCCTTTTCAACTGCTGGATGGTGCTTCTCTTTTGAGTAGAATGTCTAAAGTTCAAGCCACTTCCTATGAGCCCAGGATATCGTGGTCATCGGGCTGCCCTGGACCCATAG